GAATCAGTGTGAGTGGATTGAGAATGTGCAATGCATGCCTCGTATGCATCAGAAGGATGATGTAGCCGAAATGTATCTTAAATTATTATGTCAATTACATCGATCTGGAAATAGTTGTCTAACTCGATGGGAAATTTCATTGCCTTGAACACTTTGAAAGAGATTTATTCTTCGTCAAGCCTCAGTATAAGCTGTCCTTTCTGAACATCAACAATAGCTCTTCTAGTAGCTAAGGGTCACCCCAATATGAGTGGAACATCCTTATCTTCTTCTATGTCTAAGATGAGAAAATCGGCTGAAAATATGAACTTTTCTACTTTTACCAACACATCTTCAATGATCCCTCTTGGATGTGTAAGAGATCGATCTGCTAACTGTAGGATGACTGTTGTGGTTTTAGCTCCTCCCAAGCCGAGTTTCTTTAGCTCCTCCCAAGCTGAGTTTCCTGAAAATAGAGAAAGGCATCAAATTAATAATTGCACCTAAATCACACAAAACTTTATCAAAATGACAATTTCCAATAGTGTAAGGTATAACAAAACTTCCTGGATCCTTTAGTTTTGGAGGCAGCTTTTTCTGTATTTTGGCACTGCATTCCTCAGTTAGCATCAATGTTTCGTTTCTTCTATCTTTCGCTTGTTAGAGAGGATATCTTTTAGAAATTTTGCATAACTCAGCATCTGAACAAGTGCCTCAGCAAATGGGATGTTGATGTGTAATTTTTTGAAGACTTTAAGAAATTTACTATATTGCTGATCTAATTTATGCTTTGTCAACCTCTGCGGGAATGAAATGGGTGGCTCATGAGGGTTGATAGAATTAGTAGCTGTACCCAGTGATGTATTGAAACTTTTATTGGCAACATCCCCTGTTGTTCGTTCAGTCTGTTCCACAATCTCCTCATCTAAGGTTGGTGTTGATTCCTTGCTAGTTACTGGTCTTTTTACATGTATCTCAGGTAGTTGTACTCCATTTCTGGTTGTTATAGCCTTTGCGTGCTCCTTAAGATTGATTTCAGTGTTACTGGGTAGGTTTCCTGGTGCTCTACCCGTTATGGAGATTGCTATTTGTCCCATTTGCGTCTCCAAATTTTTGATTGCAGCACTTTGGTCTTGGAGAGTTGCGTCTGTCTTTCGCATAAACTGGTTGTTGGTCTCCATGTACTGATTAGTCGTTGCCATGAACTTCTTAAACATCTCTTCCAATGGTAGCTTTTTATCCTACTGCTGAAATTGACCTTGTGGTCTGTTTTGATTCTGGTTACTCCACGAGAAGTTTTGGTGTTTTCTCCAGCCCTGATTGAAGGTTTCTGAATGTGGATTGTTCTGTTGGCGTTGACCCCATTGCACAAAATCTGCATGTTCGACCCCCTGTGTGAGAATTGGACAGTTGACAGTATTGTGGTCTACTCTACATTCCTCACAGCTTGGCTTCTTGACTTGTTTTGCATTGGCGGTCTGTGAAATGCTTTCAACCTTATGGAACAAGGAGTCTATCTTTGCAGATAATGCTGGGTAAGTATCTATTTCATAAACCCCCGGCGTTCTCTTCTGAGCCACTCGATCTGTAGACCACATAGCTGAAGTTGTAGCCATTCTCTCAAATGGTTCCCATGCTTTGTCAATTGTTCTTGTGGAGATAGACCCTTCGGATGATGAGTCCACCATGCTCTTGAAGGATGGAAGTAATCCAGTGTAGAAAAATCGAATTTGTGTCTTCTTATCAAAGCCACATTGAGAACACTTCCTTAACATATTTTGAAATGATTCTATGCCTCTTCAAATGATTCGGACTCGCCTTGGTTGAATATAGAGATGCCATGCCACATTTTTGCTACCTTAGCTGGTGAGAAGAACTTGGTGCATAATTTGTGGGCTAGCTCGTTCCACGTGGTGATGCTCGCCACGGGAAGTGAATCCAGCAATTCAAGTGCTTTATCCCACAAAGTGTGTGGAAACAATCGCAGTCTTATAGCATCGTCTGAGATACCCTGGTACCTAAAGTGTTGGCACATGTCCAGAAATCGGGATATGTGTGTATGTGGATTCTCACTAACCATCCCATGGTATTGATGCCCATTCTGAAATAGTTGAATTATATTTGTTTTCAGCTGGAAGTTTTGTTGTCCAAATGGAGGATACACAATGCTAGTTTGATTCTGGACCACCGATGGTGCCATGAAGTCCCCAAGTACCATATTTCTTTCATCTTCAACCCCTACGCCTTCGTTGAGGTGGAAGTTTTGTTGCCCAAATGGAGGATACACAATGCTAGTTTGATTCTGGACCACCAATGGTGCCATGAAGTCCCCAAGTACCATATTTCCTTCATCTTCAACCCCTGCGCCTTCGTTGAGGTGAATTACCGGACGATTTTGCTTGTTAGCCATCTGTTATTGCTTTTTTTGGTCTTTTTGAATTTGTTGTACTGTTCTTGCTTCTCTTTGCCTGTGATGAAATGTGCGTTCGATCTCTGGATCAATGGGAACCAAGTCTCGATCAGGCGTTCTTTGCATACAAGCCCTAAGATAGTACAAATAGCACAAAATTAAATTAAAGTAAACAATAAACTAAGTCTAGTAAGCTAACTACTACTAATCTAGATAAGTTCGAATTAATGTCACAATAGATAAAATTAAACTAAATTTCAATCCCCGGCAACGGCGCCAAAAACATGTTTACGAAATTATTTTTTTCGATTTAAAATCCACCGCAAGTGTACAGTTCGTTAACAAGTAGTAAAATGGATTATGAGTCCAAGTATCGATTCCACAAGGATTGAATTAATTCAAATCAGTCTATTATGACCTTAACCGAAACACGAAAGTAGGATTTATGTGTTGTGATTTGACTAAGGAAAATGTGAATTATGATGCAATTATGAGTGAGAACTTATACTAAATGCAAAATGACCTGAATGTAATTTATTAGATTTTATGGGATTAATGAATTACTAACGCACTAGGATCACGAATTCTCAAACAATACCCGTTCAATTTTCAATTATGAAAATTTGACACACAGTCCCACAAATGATAAATCAATATTCCTATTTTAATTTAGCAATCTCTTTTGAGCAATGCCAAACCTATATCAATACGTGATTCGACTATATCCCTATGATGAATACTACCATACAGGAATGCATTATGATTTCATGAATATTCAACAATTCACACAAGGCATAGAGGTATTTTTCTATCCCCTATCGGACCCTATGATGATTTATACTATGTCGAGCCTATTTTCCTTCTTTCGATTGCATAAAACAAACCCCCAAAATCATATAATTACGTGCACAATAAAAATATGAAAATAAAAACGTATAAATCAATCAATTTCGAAACATGCGTTCAAATATGTCAAATCTCCAAATTAACAATCAAACGCAGTGTTGCAAGGTTCATCGATCTCCTAACAATGAAAAATCTAGCCTAACATGCTAAAAAGAAGAAAATACAAAAATAGTTGAAAAAACGTCATCAACCGAATCAAGTTTCAATCTTCAATTGGCGCGATGTTTTCCTCTTGTTCGCTCCTTGTTTTCTCCTTCAAAATCTCTTTTTTCTTCTAAAAACGGCGTTCCCTTCGTTCTGATCGAGTTTTTGTTTATATAGGACCCTAAAAATCTTGTTTCCATAAGAGTTTTGACGGAATAAGGAAACTACGAATTTTGTCTCCGGTCGCATAAAGCATCTCTATGCGGTCACATAGAGTAAACATTTACTGAGAAATAATTCTCGGTTTGCTTTTATGCAGCCGCATAGAGGGTAGCATAGTGCTACCAACTATGGAAAAAGTCCATTTTGTTCCTTATACCTGAATCTTTCACTTCTTCGCATTTTTTCTTCATTCTTTCCATTCCATCATCTCAAGATATCATCTATTGGCATTTGGCTTAATCAATTTCTCGATTTGTTCATCGGGTCAACTTTTGGATAATTGCACCTTGGTCCCTGAACTTCACTTTGCGTCATTTTAGTCATTTTCGCGTCCTTTCTCCTGAATTTCATCTTGTTCATCGGTGCTCCCTACAATTCACAAATGTAACGAGATTAAGTCACAATTCAATCATTTTGCTCGTAATTAAGTCATATTTGTGATATAAATAAGTGTGCAAAAATACACTTATCATCTGCTAGTGTTTCAAAGATCCGAGACTTTTCCTGCAATTATCCCTATTAATATATAATAACATATGAATTTCACAAAGTATCAAACCTTGACTCTTAACAAACAATAATCTCCATTCACTTGTTTCCCGCATGAATGCTTGTTTCTATTATTTACATATAAGTCCTTAGAAACTGTGAAATCTCAATTTCATTATGAACTTTTCAACTTTCTCCATTAAGTCCTAAAATCTACTGTATGATGTTTTGGTGTTTTAAGCACATGATTTTCCTACAAAATATGAACACATATCCTCTCTAAACACAAATAAATATAATCTAGAGTATTTTGATATCTCAAACGTATGATTTTCTCTTAGAATTTAACATGTATACTAATCTCATAAGAATTGAGTCTCATTTGATGAACTCGACTAGAATTTTATTATCTTTGAGACACATAAATACAAATTAAAAAAAGAAGAAGAATGTAACCACAAAATTTGCAAAACATACCAAACAAAGGGCACCCTATTTTCTCATAAAGTCTCTAATTTTGATGAAAGTGTTTTCTATAAATTCGAAAGGAGTAATATTATTCACAATCGGTAACTGTAGTAGTTCTATTATGTGATAACTTATTATTTGAGATATTAACTTATTATTTGATGCAACATAATTATAAGAAATTAATGTCTCAAATAGCAAGCTGACACACAAAATGACTAATACATTTGCTGAGTATAAATCACACACACACATATACATATAGACACACACACACATACGAGTAGCAATGCCCGTTACAAAGTGACACCAAAAAGGAGATAAAATATCATAGACATAGTTGTATAATTTTGGAATCTATTTTATATTTTTAACATTTTGAAAACCCCATCAATCCATACTTTTATTATCCAAATAAAACTATCCATATAATATGTGCACATTCTGCATGCTTTCTTTACGAGTTATACATGGATAGCGTGTTTTCAGTGGACGAAATAGCGGATCACTTCTGGTCACCTCAGCCGCCGCCGAAGGAGGAGCATGAAGAGTCATCAGCCTCCGCCACTACTCCGGCGGGGTCCTCCTCGTCGAATAACAAGAAGATGATGATGAATCGCAGCTCTTCCGAATGGGCTTTCCAGCGCTTTCTCCAAGAGGCATCCGCACTCGATGATTCCTCATCGCAACAACTTGCGATGGATAAGGGATCACATCCTCCGCCGTCGTGTTCTGCCACCACATCAAACGACGTTGACTTTAATATCAAAAGTAATGATAGCAATAATCGAAAGACGGCGGCGGGTTCGGTGGTCCCACCACCTACTAATATTCCGGCTGATTCCGAGGAATACCAGGTCCTCCTTAAAAGCCGCCTCGAGTTGGCGTGCGCCGCCGTCGCGTTGACCCGGGTATTCTTCTTTTATTACGTCATTTTTTTTTTCTCGAGCCGCTTTTATAGTGCTTCTGCAATTTATACCTCGTGGTATCCACTTGTACCTTTTCCTTCTCAACCTAGCATTATGAATTCCCAATTTCCTTCCTCGGTATGGGAGCCTGATTTTTTTTTTTTTTTTCCATCTTTTTATTTCGTTGAGTAACGCAGAGGAATTTAAGGCTTTAAGAAACAAAATATTGCACTCAAGTCTGCATCGCAATTTTTTATGTAGGCAAATAATTTGAAGCTTCAAGATTCAGCATCTGCAGCACCTGGAAATGGACCACAGGCTTCTCAAGTTCGGCTTAAAGGTTAACATTTTACTTCTTTTGTGATTATATAATTTTTCTTGTATTCATCGATACTTCTATAAAAATTTAGTTGCAACATTGAATACTATAACACTAATTCACAAGGGTTAAATATGCATATTTTTATGAGAAAACGAAAATGAAAGCAAAGTTTGCCAAGAAATTACTTAACTTCAATTATGAATATCTTTCCGCTTGTAAAAGATACAGTGCCATAAGAAAAACAAAGTAAAGAATGCTTTGCTATTTTCTTTCCTTCTATTTCACATGCCAAGGCTTGCTTAAGATTCCTTACAACTGATTTTCAATCCTTCTCTTAACTACAAGCCTCTCCTATCTTCCCCATCTTTTCTTTACACCCAGTTCGAAGTTTGAAATTTGTTGACCTCGAATTTTAAAGTCAACAAATCCCGTACCACCTAGTCACCCTTCAAAGCCTTTTCAGTCACCGGAGAATTTTAAGAGCTACTTACACTCATTGCCACCAAATAAAGGTTAGAGGATGAAGAGCAAGAATTTGGTTAGGGTTTCTAATATCACCTTTTCTCATGATTTCAGGGTTATTTATAGATATCCTAAGCCTATGGGATTTTTGGTCTTTTCCTGTTTCAGGACTTGTGTCGCTTTGCTGTTGAAGGTCCTGAAACAGCTTTGTGATTCTGGATAGTTTTATGACACGTGACACTCATTAATTGGTTGGTTTATTACCTTCACAATATTCTTTAGATCACCTTCGTCGCATGCTCACTAACTATTTTCCTCACATGGGACTTTACTCTTGCTACCACGTGTTCAAGAGGATATTTTTTTGCTTTCGTTTAAGGGGGCAGATACTTGAATGATCCAATAGCTTTTATTTATATATCTTTCTGGAATCTAAACGATTCAATGTAAATTGGTTCGCTTATCAAGGTTGACATGTTGGCTAAGAAAGTCAATCTCATGTCACAAGTTTAAAGGTTCGCCTGTCCGGATGAAACCTAGGGAGAAGTGGTTTTATAGCTTCACCTTTGCGAAGTGGTTGTGGTGAAACTTGTCTTGTTGTAATTGGTTGGCTACGTGGTTCCTTTCCTTATACGTGGGTTCAGCCTGGCGTCCACGTGCGACTATTTTATGCCGCATGGAATCATAGAGTAACAATAGTTCCAATTATATCCCAATTATTTTATGGTTTAACAACTTTAAATACAAAACCAACAGGCACGTGCATGTATAAATTGAGGTGGTTTTGTTGGTGGATGATGGTAGGCGGCTAAGATGGTCTATTGTCTGTAGAGTGGTGCCTTTGAAGTTCTTGGCTGAAGATGGTGGGTCTTGGTGGGCAAGGGCGCTGGTGAGGAGTAGGTGTTGGGGTAGAAAAGAGGTGGAGTCCTGCATAGAGGATATGTTGCATCGGTTGTGTTGAATGTGGTACCGCGTGGGAGGGTGATGTGGATGGAAACGTGATTTGAAAGAGAACGGATCAACAATTCACTGAAGAATGAATCTGGATCGACATAAGACTAGGAGAATGCTGGAATAGTACATCTCAGTTTATTAATCAAAGTCTAGCAGAAAGATTCCAAATGATAGAGTACTTATAGTAATTAAAGCAATTAACAAATCCAAATCCAAATCCAAATCCAAATCCCAATCCCAATCCGAATCCGTCCAAATGGACACTACTGTTGTGGTAGTTGAGCTTTGTATTAGTGTGCTAAAGTTTCCAAAGTTATTTTTGAATAGGAAGGTTTATATATGAGATCGAAGAGTCCTAATGTAGTTGGGCAACAAAAGCTTAGTCACACTAAAGAGTGCAAACCTTTTCAACTCAACTAACTATTGGAGCAGCATTTCATGATTTGTGCAATATGATTTTGTCTTAACTAATGAGCTTGGCTCTTCATCATCGAACGATCAATTTCGAATTTAATGCTACTTGAATAGTTCTGCAAAAACATTCGTGATTTATGTGCATGAATCTCTTGGTTGACGTTCTCTCAATCCAATCTTTACAACATTGCCATAACATTCTTATACTTACTGGTGCATGTGTCTGTCTTTTAGTGCAACTTACCTTACAATTACAAAGCAGGATAAGTCTCAGATCTCTTTTATATGATCTTTAGCTTCACCCGCACATATTGATGGTGTATTTTGGTGAATTTAGTTGTCTGTGGACCGACTGATGTCAAAGTTACATATTTTCCCCACAGCTTCCGAAATCGTGCACGTAAATGAAGTCTTTCAATTATATGTATGCAATCATTCCTCTCAAGATCCTCTTGATTGCATCATTTTTCTGAATTGTTGTAGGAAACCTTGTATGGAAAGGAGCTACAGATGGAAATTGTAATTAATTAAAGATTGTGAGTTTAGGTTAATTGGTAGGTTGATTTATTTCCTTACTAAGATAATTATGTTTTCCTTTTCTTGTTCGAATTTTATAGTATAAGTAGGAGGTATTAGGAATGAATTTTTCATTGGGAAATAAAAATCCACAATATTGATTTTGATTTCATGTTATAAGAACCGTGGTTTCTCCAACTTAGCAACTCAATGGCGGAATTCTCCGCTAACTGCCAAGAGTCGACGACCTTTGCAACTTCAGTATTCGAAGTAGAGGTCAGTTCTTCAATCAGCTCAAATGGGCTAGAGAATTCTTCCTTCCAACTCATGGTGGAAAAATTGAATGTAAGGAACTATCGAGAGTGGGCTCAATCCATAAAATTAGTAATAGACGGTAAATTAAAATTGGGTTATCTTATTGGCGAAACCAAGAAATCGACCAGCATTGTGATATTGCAGAAGTGGAAGTCCGAAAACTCCATGGTAATAGCTTGGTTGGTAAATTCGGTGAAAATGGCGATTGGAAAAACTCATCTCTTCCTCCCAACCGCAAAAGACATCTGCGATTCAGTAAAAGATACTTACTTTGATGTGGAAGATTCATCACACATATTTGAAATTAAAACCCGATTGTGGCAGACCGGCAAGGCTCAAGAGACGTGACTGATTATTATATGTAAATGGTAGCTCTCTGGCAAGAATTAGACCTCAGTGTTGAGGAGGAATGGAAATGCGTAGATGATTGCACACTGTACAAGAAGCTGGAGATTGCAAGATAGAAAAAGGGTATTAGTGTATCTCAACGGAAATACATTCTTGATCTACTCAGAGAAACTGGCATGCTAGGACGCCCCTATTGAATCTAGAAAAATAAAAGACACAGGGAGCCCAGTGGAAATAGACAGATACCAAAAACTGGTTGGTAAGTTAATCATCTCTCACACACTAGACGATATTGCTTTCGTAGTTAATGTGGTAAGTCAACACGTACTTTTCTAAAGAAGCTTATCTAGAAGCAGTATACAAAATTCTCAGATATCTATAAGGCACTTCTGGGAGAAGATTTTATTTTTTGAAAAAAATAAAAGGATCGGAGTAGAAGTATTCATTGATGCTAATTGGGCTGGATTAGAAGATCTACTTCGGGCTATTGTACATTTGTATGGGGAAGCTTAGTGACCTGGAGAAGTAAGAAATAGAATGTAATGGATAAAAGTAGTGCCGAAGCTAAATTCAGAGCCGTGGCCGAAGAAATTTGTGAGGGAATGTGGATAAAAAAACTCTTGAAAGAATTTAAAGTAAATGTGGAACTCCCAATCAAACTTTATTGTGACGACAAAGCAGTCATCAGTATTTCTCTCAATCCAGTACAACATGACTGAACCAAACATATAGAAGTGAACAAACATTTTATCAAAGAAAAGGTATAAGATGGGATTATCTGTATGACATATGTTCCTACAACTTAACAAACCGCGGATATGTTAACCAAAGGACTGTCAAGACAAAGCTTCAACGATTTCAACATCAAGTTGAACGTGATTAACATCTATAGTTCAACTTGAGTGGGAGTGTAGGAAACCGTGTATGGAAAGGAGTTACAGATGGAAATTGTAATTAATTAAAGATTGTGATTTTAGGTTAATTGGTAGGTTGATTTATTTCCTTAGATAATTATGTTTTCCTTTTCTTGTTTGAATTGTATAGTATAAGTAGGAGGTATTGGGAATGTATTTTTCATTGAGAAATAAAAATCCAGAATATTGATTTTGATTTCAATTGGCATATTTTTCTGTTATTGAACACCTCGACTTTTGACAAGTAAAATAATACAATACTTTCATCGTATGTATGCTTATTGTCCAGGAGTTCATCTATATCTATTGATAAAAACAGATGATAATGGCTTGGTGTACTCTGAAGGTCAAAGCCATTACTGACATTATTTTCTGTTTTTCTTTTCCCCAATCCTTTTAAGGAGCTGGGCATGTATCATCAGTGGGAGAAGATAAGGATGCCAGTGGAACACTTGGGTTATCTTGCCTGCCTGCAGTGCCTAAGAAATCTGGGGCTCAGGTTAAGTCAACAACAAGTGGTTCATCTGGAGAACAATCAGATGATGATGAGGGTGAAGGAGAAACTGAAACAACTCTGAATATGGACCCTGCAGATGCAAAGCGCGTACGGAGGTATGAAAAGAATATCTTTTAGTAGCTAATTGCTCAAGAATATGTGCAATCACACAAGATTGATTTCATAATATATATCTCATGGTAGGGGGATGACTGCATCTTGATCTGTAATCTGTAGAGAGAACTTTTATGGAACTGCATAATAGTACTGCTACTGTCAAATAAAATGAACATGCACCTAAATTTAGTATTTAGGAGAAGACAAATATACTTAAGGGTCGTATTGTTGTTGAACTCATTGAATGTGCTCTATAGACGTTGTCTGCTATAGCTTTTTTCAACCTTTTTTTTTTTTTTTTACTCTATTTTGTTTCGATGAATGGTAACCTCTTTTGTTTTGAGCAATTTCGAAACTTCCTTTTTTGTTTTTTACCACCCACAAAAAATAGCAAGATTTTTTTTTCTTGCCAACAATGGCAACCTTTTTTGTTAAAGTGGAAATTTTCACCGTGAGTCCCCGACATATGGACCTTGTTGCAATTTGGTCCAATTTATTTATATTGCGAACGCCGGCCCCAACCCTTTGGTTCTGTAGCTTCATTGATTTTCGTGGACAGGTGGTTGGAGGTGACATAGGTATTAAGGACGCTAGAGGTGGAGTGAGTTGCAGGAATGATGGCTGGGTGGCAGTGGTTAGAAGGATGTGAGGTTGGGGTCTGGTGGTGGGATTGGGTTACGTATTTTTTTGTGGTAGTTTGGAAAGGGGCCAGGGTGTGGGTGGGGGGTTGCGGGAGAGGATGCATTTCTCCTTTCCTTTTTTTCCCCCTTTTTTCCTTTTCTCATTTAAATCAAAATAAGTGTGTAATCGGCTAGTTAGTTTAAAAGATGGCTAATTAGGATTTTTTGAGGCTTTAGAAAACGTGTGACAACAGATTAAGGTTGAGGACTGATTGCTCATTTTAAGGGTTGAGGACCAACTCGTACCATACTCTATTGATCAACGCTGCAATATTCCATTCGATAGTCTATATAATTTAAATACCTTTTGTGCTTAAAGTCCTAATAAAAGAAATGAAAAGTTGTCTCTCGTAAACCTAAAAGCTTAAAATGAAAATATATCTGAATATAGAAAAATAGGAAATCACTTAAACTAAATCACAATCTCTCTCCCTGAAATAAATGTGTATTCATCGTTAAGTCTTGAATCTGGTATCTATTAAAATCTTCATCAAAAGCATATGGTAGCAAGTTCCTGGTGAGCTGGAGAATAACCTATAGTAAGGGATGATACTTGTGGAGTAATATATAAATAACTTAATTTCAACAATAACAAGGTTCTTGATTTTTGTATGTGGTAATTTTATTTTCATAATGCCAATGCATCCGCCACATGCCTTCCAACTTTTTATAATTTAAATATGATATAAACTCTATCATAAATAATATATATTTTTAACTCGAAGTTATTATAATTAACAATTAGGTGAGATATTTAAAAGATTTCGACGAGGGAAATAATAATAAGTATAAAACTAAATTTATATTATGTAAATGAAGAATTTTAAATAATTTAATCATAGTTATATTCGGTGCTTTACAGGATATGAATATATGGATGTATATGAAGTTCTAAATTACTGTGTGATCCTTGATGTACATTGTTATAATTGTAAAAACAGTTCTTTTATCAAATTATTTTGTTTTCCTTTTCAGAATGCTTTCAAACAGGGAATCTGCAAGACGCTCAAGAAGAAGAAAGCAGGCCCATTTGACCGAGCTCGAGACACAAGTATATTTCTTGAGTCTCATCATCTTCATTTACCATGGTATTCTGATGATTTGTTTATTGAGATATAGCTCATGCTTCTTCCAGGTTTCCCAGTTAAGAGTTGAAAACTCTTCTTTGATGAAGAAACTCTCTGATATAAGCCAAAAGTACAATGAAGCAGCTGTAGACAATAGAGTTCTGAAAGCTGATGTTGAGACATTGAGAGCTAAGGTAAGATTAACACTTAACTGGGATTCTGAAAACTATATAGTGATTTTATCCTTATAATTCATGAACTTAGGCACAAGAGTCACAGATGGGTCTCTTATTATGAATTTCAGGATAAAAATTTGTTTACTTTTCTTGTTGATCCACTATTATACGGATTAAATGAATCCAAAATGCTGTATAAATGTACTGCTCCTGAATAAGAAAAGTTGCATGAATTTTTTAGTAGATTTTGATAAAAGTTTATGAAATGTGGTTGAAAAATTGTAATCCCATAAATTGTATGATTAAAATTAATTATTGACTTTGATTTAGATTTTTATCGATTTTTTTAGCTAAATAAACGGGCTAGGAAAAATATTGGATTTAGGTTTCTTTGATCTTAATAGAAGTATTCATTAGATGTTGATTTTTCGGAAAGTAACAGGTAAAAATGGCAGAAGAGGCTGTTAAAAGAGTAACAGGTTTAGGCCCACTGTTCCAATCCATGTCCGAGATATCCACAATGGGCATGCCATCTTTTGCTGGTAGTCCATCTGAAACCTCAGCAGATGCTGCTGTACCAGTACAAGTGCTAGATGACACAAAACAGTGCTATCATCAAAGTTCTACATCGACTGGTGATCCTAGGTTCCAAAATGGTTCGATAGATATTCCTCCAGCAGATAATGTACAACAGAATGATGCAGCAGGTGCGCGGAACAAGATGGGAAGAACAGTTTCGATGCAGAGAATCTCTAGCTTGGAACATCTGCAGAAACGCATTCGTGGGGGAACGGGTTCTAGTGGAGAGCAGTAGAGTATCTATTATTCTTCAACATACTATGTGCATTTGTTGGATAAAACAGCATATTTAACAATTCTAACTACTTAAATGCTTATTTTATTTTTCATTTAAAACAAGAAGGGAATTCATTTTCCAGATTCTTATCTCTCTCCGGTTATGTTCTCTGATTGTGTCATCAAATGCCAAAATGAAATATGGTGGTTCTCACCATTAATTTTTATAATTACCCTTTTATTTTTATAATTACTAAATAGCTCCTGATTGAAAATCTAATGACTTATTTTATTTAGTGTGGGGGAGATTATTTGAAAAGCGATTTTCCTGGAGAATGTATCGACAAAAAGTAGGAAAAAATTAACGGAATATATATATTTATATGAATTTGTAATTGAAAAGAAAGTGGAGAAAAGTGATTTTTAAAATTCCACTTCTACACGAGCACTCTGTCTTTCTTCTCATTTTTTTCTTAATTTTTTGGGGAGTGATATATGTGTGTGTGTGTAGGGGGAATTTGTAATTGAAAAGAAAGTGGAGAAAAGTAATTTTTAAAACATCACTTCCACACAAGCACTTTTTTTCTTTTTATTTTTATTTTTATTTTTATTTTTTTGGGGAGTGAGATATGAGAGTCAACTTAAAAAATGATTTTTAAAATATTACTTCCACAAAAGCATTTAGTTATTTCCATGTCTTAATGGAGTGGGATATAAGAATCTTATGCCTTTATTTCTTGTTACTCTGTATAGGAAAAAAAATAAGTCAAGCTAAACTTACAGCGAGTTATAATCATATGTGCAGGTTTTGTCTAGAGTGCACTAGAATTACAGTGTAAATAGTGCGGTTTAATATTAAGCCCCCGTTTGCCCTCTTTAATTCTCATCAATTTAAATTAAATTTTTCTTTCACTATTTTTAACCACACAATTTTTAATAAAATAATATTTTACGTAAATCGAAAACTTTTTATTCTTTTACAACAACTCATTTAAAAAAAAAACACTATTCCTCCCATTATAATTCAAATTAATAGGGGGCAAACGGGGGCTAAACATTGTCACAAAGTCGAGGCTTGCTTTGCTCATAACAAGTTTCCACTCTTCTTCTGTATCTTTCAATTATTTATAAAAAAAAAAAAAAAGGACCCAAAATATATAGTTATGAGGAATAGAGTTGTTCTATAAGCTTGTTATTGTCGTAATTTTCTCAAGCTACGAAAAGAAAATTCATTAGCCTGTGCTAACTTAGGATTTCTGATAATATCACCATTTAAATTTAGGGTTAGTAATTAAAAATATGTAAATATCACACATGCATTGTTCCAAGAATTGAAAAACCAAAAATGAATTCTCTCTCACAGAATTGCACTTTTTGAATAGTATTAAAAATATAGATATCATTTAAACCCTATTTGATAAATATTAAAATTCAGATTTTTAATCAAAGTCAAAGTCAACAATTAATTTTAACTACATATTTTATAGTATCCCCAACTTGTCAACCACACATTTTATCAATTTTTATTAAGATCTAATAAAAATCTAATTTCAATTCTCATCAAACAAAAACTTAATATTATTATAACTATTGTCTAACTTCTAATAAAAAAAGGAAGAGGGGTCTACTATTTATGCAATAGTAAACGAATCCAATTTTACTATACATGATGTCATTTTTTATTTTTTATTTTGTTTATGTCAAACAAATGTTCTTCCACATATCATTCCACTAGCATTAAAAAAATAATTATATCAAACAAATGTTCTTCCACACATTATACCACTAATATTAAAATAATAATAATAATTTTAGTAAATATAAACTGCTATGAACAAAAAAATAATAATAAATGAATAAATAAAAATAAAAAAATCTTCTCACATGAGCTTTAAAAAAAAATAAACTCTCCATACAGTGCGGAGAGATGGCAAACTATTTGTGGAAAAAACTCTCCGCATAATGTGGAGAGATGACAAACCATGTGTGGAGAGTTCCAACTCTTCGTACAGTGTGAAGTAAAAAAAAAATATAAAGAAAATCCCTTCGCACGGTGCAAAGAGATGACATTCTGTACAGACAATCCGTACAATTTGTGCGAACACTGTCCTCACAAAGTGTGGACTCTCCATACAGTGCGGAGTAAAAAAAGGAAAAAAATCTTCGCACGGTGCGGAGAGTTGGCAAACTCTCACTACAGTGCGAAGTTATACAAAAAAAAAAAAAAAAACTCTCCGCACAATGACTGTCACGTGCGTTGCACGAATTTTGCATATATCGTATTTTTATTAGTGTATGAATTTTTATTTTCTGGAAAGTTTTTGAAACAATATCTAGAAATATTTTCATATTTAAAAAAAAAAAAAAAAAAAAAACTCTCCGCACAATGACTGTCACGTGCGTTGCACGAATTTTGCATATATCGTATTTTTATTAGTGTATGAATTTTTATTTTCTGGAAAGTTTTTGAAACAATATCTAGAAATATTTTCATGATATAAGAAAATAATTGTAAATTATTTTTACAATTGCATAGCAGTATTGTGTCATCTAAAAAAAATATACTTGTATATTTCATACATGAATAAAAAATATACGAGATTATTCAAATTATTTTACTTGTATTCTTTGATAGTGTTTATATGATTGAGTTGAATATGAAAATTATATTTCTAAATTTTCTGTAATTCAATATTGAAAAATTGAAGATTGAGCACCATATTCATAGGTATTTACATTTTGTGTTTCATATATATTTAATATTTATTTTATACTTATGTTGAAAAAATAAAAATTTGAATTTTTTTTAAAAATTCGGTTAGGTAAGTGAATGTACGGTGTTCTACATTCTTGATATTTGTAAATGCAAAAATCGGTATATAAAAATACAGTAAGTTGCAAATACGGTAGGCAGCATATACGATATGATGAAAAAATACGATAATGTGAAAATACGGTAGTTGCAAATACGGTAAGTTGCAAATACGGTAAGCAGCATATACGGTAAGGTGCAAATACGATAAAGTACAAATACGGTAAGTTGTTTGCAAATATGGTAGACTGTATATACGATAAGCTGCATATATGGATTTATAATTTGTTATAAATGTATAAAATTTATTTAATATTAAATTTTTTAAGTATTAAATGTTGTAATTCAATATTATTTCCTTTTTCACAATTGTATTTCCGAAAATTTAAAAAAAAAAATGGCTATGAAATTGTTAATTTTTAAATGTGTTTTTTAACTGAAGATAAAAATGATTTTTTTATGTTATTTGTAAAAAAAAATTTATTGTAATTTTACTAGCGTAACGAGAAGATTTATTATGCATTTTTATTTTTTGAATTTTGTGAAGAATTTTGTTTATGGTAATTGACAAATATTCTTCCACACACGCATCATGCCAACGACATTAAAAAAATAATAATAATTTTAGTACATATAAACTCTATGAGACCAAAAAAATAAAATTTCCGTACATGAGCAAAAAAAAAAAACTCCGCAAAATGCAGAGAGATGACAAACTATCTCTCCGCACAGTGTGAAGAGAAAAACAAAAACTTTCCAAATTTTATCCACAAGTTTTAAAAAGTCTTTTCTCAAACAACTTTTGAGCAATGCATTGAACATTTTAATTCTTGGCCTACAACACGAAAGTATAATTTAATTGAAAATTGTATCCTCTTCTAATATCCAAAAGCTGTTATCAAGCAAATATAAAATATTGAATTTGAATGGTACCCTAGAGTCTCCATTTGTGAAAGCAATGCCATAGTACTATCAATATCTATTTCTTTGCACAACTCATATATTGTTTCATTATATGAATCACGAGAAAGCTCATTTCCAATACCATAAATATGATTTGCATGTTCAGAAATTGAGCTGTGATTGAAATTTAAAGAAAACATAATTGATTTTGAACCATATTTTTCGACTCTGTTTCGTTGTATATATGAAAAATTTACAATCTTGAAATTTGACTTTTAATTAAGGAATTTGAAAACAACTCTCCACACTGTGCGGAGAGTTTTTTTTCTCTGTACTGTGCGGATAGCTGATTTGTCATCTCTTCACACTGTACGAAGAGTTTTTTTTTACTCCGCACTATGCGAAGAGTTTGCTAACTCTCCACACATGGTTCAACTCTCTCCGTACTTTTTTTTTTACTCCGTACATGATTCAATTCTCTACGCATTGTGCGGACCAACTCTCCGCACAGTACGAAGAGATTTTTTTTGCTCTTCGTACTGTGCGGAGAGTTAGTTTGTCTTCTCTCCGCACTTTGCGAAGAGTTTTTTTTTACTCTGTATTGTGCGAAGAGTTTGCCAACTCTCTACACATGATTCAACTCTCTTCGCACTGTGTGAAGAGAGTTTTTTCTCTCCACACCTTTTTTTATTTTTTATTTTTACTCCACACTGTGCGGATATTTTTTTTTCAATTTTACAATATTGAATTACTCAAAATTTAGAAATATAAACTTCACATTCAATTCAATCATATTAACACTATCAAATAATACAAACAAAATTTTGTTCTAGAATTCTTTTTCTTCGTAGGTCATTTGTGGCACACGGGAAGGGCTCGTGCAGCTACAGCAGGATTTGAAAAAGGAATTGATCGTGATTTTGAACCTGTTCTTTGCACCCACCCAATCAAAAATCCTCCAATTCTCAAAGGAGAATAGAAGAAATCATACTTTCATACAATATCTTAATTGAATTATATGTAATGATCAATAAATTAAGTTGAATTCTATATCTATATGGATTAAAATCCTAGCAATAATCTATTCTATAGATATTTGGACTGGAGTTGACAAACAACCAATAACAATATTATTGTTTCTTAGTGTAGATTAGATATATATTTCACAGAAACGCGAAATTAAAGTAGGCGACAAAGTAACTGAAAGACACGAAAGTAAAGGTATCATTTCCAAAATTTTGCCTAGACAAGATATGCCTTGTCTGCAAGATGGAAGACATGTTGATATGGTTTTCAACCCATTAGGAGTACCTTCACGAATGAATGTAGGACAGATATTTGAATGTTCGCTCGGGTTAGCAGGGGGTCTGCTAGACAGACATTATCGAATAGCACCTTTTGATGAGAGATATGAACAAGAAGCTTCGAGAATGCGAGATCGGACATGAAAAAAGGTAAAAGGTCTCCGCAAAGTCGTAAGACCATGTATGAGGGCTGACGCCTGCCCAGTGACGGAAGGTCAAGGAAGTTGGTGACCTGATGACAGGAGAAAATAGTTTGTATATTTCTCATTCAAGCATGAAATACACAAGTATATTTTTTTCTAAATAACATACTGCTATGCAATTGTAAAAATAATTTACAATTATTTTCTTATATCATGAAAAATTTTTTAAATTCTGCTTCAAAAACTTTCCAAAAAAACTAAAATTCATACACTAATAAAAATACAATAAATACAAAATTCGTGCAACGCATGTGATAGGGACTAGTAGTAAATAGTGCGCCAAGTAAAAGTTTTAGCTCCACCACCACGACTAATTGTTAATATAACAACCATGCGTAGTAATTTCCACTAAAACAAAGGCAGTTGGTCAAAGCATATAGCCCTTCGAGCAACCAATCAAACCAGCACATCAAATTCCATTCTGTCCAATATACCTCACCAAAGATGCCACAAATAGGCTAAAACCAAAAAACAGTTATTCTACCAACTTGTCTCCAATTAACATAAACAGAAAATCAACATAGAATGAAAATTTGAAAAGACTACAAATGCCACAAATAACCTTGTATTAAGTATATCCCTAGATTTTTCTTTAACAAGAAAAAATCTCGTTGCATTTGTTTTGATGAGAAAGAGATGCTAAAAATGCTTTCAGATGCAAAGATAATCTCTCTCCTCTGGCAAATTATGGATTCAGTGATCCTCGATCTTTTTTAAACCTTTCATATCTGTAGTTTCCACCCTGTAGTAGAAGCACACATAACCAAAATCATCCACCATGAAACATTACATATCTAATAACACAACACAGTTTCGCATTTAAGCAGATTAAGCTTACACACAATGAAGCACATCATAACTAAATGTCAGTGAAAAATCTCAATTTTTTATGCATAAATCTAAAAATAAAAATGGTTACTTAAAATCATATAGACTAAATATTATAGGTTCTACACTTATTAACAACCAAATCACATGACACCCTGAATTCAAGCGAAACAGAACACACACCCTCTACCAGCATCATCTATCATGTTGAATTATGAGATTTCAATCTTTTTACAAATCTCAGGGCATCATTTATTCCAATTTAAATCAATTAGCGATATAATGAATGCTACCTACAGAGCTTGAAAAATCTTACTAATAGAGCACAGTGATAAAAGAATAAAGTTTATCCAACAAGAAAGATGTTTTGGTTTAGCATGCTTCTGCCCTGAAAGGAGAAAAGAATAGTAAATATGGATTCTCGACGAAACTTTAGTAGTTCAGCAACATGTCAAATCCATTTATGAGATATTCCATTTAACATATTACCCAGAATTCAATCATCAAACAGAAACATGATTAAGCAAAGAGTACAAAATCTTAAATAAAACAGAAGGGAAACAAGAGAAAAATGAGACACTTACGTTGTTCCACAGAGAACAATCTTTTGAACTTTTGTAATATCAGAACCAGATTGATTATCCTCAATGAAAATTGTTAAACTGATTAAGAATATTTAGTTAGAATTTCATTCTTAAGCCTGAAACGATTATGTTAGGATGACAATGGCAATGAGAAAATGAACTTACCTGCGAACATTTTGAAACTTAACATACTTCAAGATAACTGGTTTTCCCTGTAGGGATGCAGTATATTTAGCTCGATATTTTGGTGACAATTTTGACTATAACAACTAACGTACCCAGGCAAATCCCATCTTACGCAGGAGAATAATGGTGAAATATATCAAGCACTGAAATTTACCTTGAGATCATCCTCAGACAAAACAACAGTGTCACTAGGAGGGTAGTCATTAACATTGCTGCATATATTAACAATTCTCTTCAAATATTAGAGGAAAACAAGCAGTTAACGGAGGCCTGTCCAACCAAAAATAAATAACAAAACTTCAACCATTACCTGAATCCCATATGCTCCTTGTTGGCAAAAAGTTTCACAGTTTTAGGACCTGGAAATTAACCAGAAAGTAGGATTTAAATCAAAACTTACAATCAAATCAAAGAGAACAGATAATGTTCATCCCACATGGGTTGAGTAAGCAGGTATTGTGTGAGATAATGAGTATGGGATGATCTTAGGCGTGAGTTTGTCCTTCGAGGTGTTACCACTCTCGACATGCCTGCTCTTTTGTTCGAGATTACGAGTTAGTGACTAGGACACCGTATAGAACTCGTAGTGACACCCGCACTTCAATCTCTTCTGTGTCCACTCCTTCTCCTAAGTCTATTTCAAGGCCCCCCCGCCTCTGTATCAGAAAATAAAGGTAAAGGTTCGAAAGTTTCTAGAGCATCTTCCCATTTGCAATGCTTTAACTGTAAGGGTTTTGGTCACATTTCTTCTATATGTCCTAGCCGAGCCCTAGTCATGAAAGAACGTGAGGGTATAGTCGAAGAACCGTTAGAGGACCAAGATTATAACCTTAAGCTGGAAGAGTTTGATGACTTGGATAATAATGAAGATATCTTTTTAGGTTGTATTCAGACCCTTTCCCTTACTCCCAACACGCCTAGAGTCGGTGTCGTACGTTGTACCCTTACCCTATCCAAGGATGCCAATGATTAGCGTCGTCATGCCATCTTCCACACTTACATCAAGATTAACAATAAGGGCTGTAAAGTTATTGTGGATAGTGGTAGTTGCATTAATGCGATTTCGATGGTTACTGTATCCCATCTTGGGTTGAAACCAGTTCCTCACCCTCAGCCATACAGCGTGTCTTGGGTTGATACGTCTTCTATAGTTGTAAACGAGCGTTGTTTAGTTCCTATCCAGTTCCTCGAGTATAAGGATCATATATGGTGTGACGTCATTTCAATGGATGTCAGGCACATCATCTTGGGGCGACCTTGTTTGTTCGATCTAGATGTAACCATCTATATTCGATCCAATTCTTGTACCTTTTTGTTTAATGGTAAGAAAATTCATCTTAACCCACTACCCCAAAACCTATTAGCTCACAGGAAACAAAGAAAAGTGTTGAGCGAAAGTGGTTACATATCATTAGCCCTATAGAGTTTAAGCGTACACTTGGTGGTGACTCAATTGTATTTGCTGTGGTTATTATGTAGGTTCCATTGAGCTCCACAACAGAGAGCCCTGCTGAAGTTCGGTCATTCTTTCACGAGTTTCGGGATATCTTTCCAGAGTACTTACCTGACCAGTTACCTCTTCTACGTGACATTCAAGATGCCATAGATTTTGTTCCCAGGGCGTCCCTTCTAAATTTGTCTCATTATAGGATGAATCCTACAGAATATGCTTAACTCCAAAGGAAAGTAGATGAATCCTTCACAAATGGTTCATCCGTGAGAGTTTAAGCTCTTGTGTAGTCCCCGCCCTATTGACTCCTAAAAAAGATGGCTATTGGAGAATGTGTGTAGATAGTCGTGCCATCAATCAGATCCTGGTGAAATATCGCTTTCCCATTTCTAGGCTTGACGATATGTTAGATATAATGGTAGGTACTACAATATTTTCTATGATTGATCCGAATATCACCAGATTAGAATCCGTCCACGTGATAAGTGGAAAACTACTTTTAAGGCGAAAGATGGTTTTTTACGAGTGATTGGTCATTCCTTTTGGGCTAACTAACGCTTCAAGTACCATTATGTGAGCCATAACACAAACTCTTCGACCTTTTATAGGTATGTTCCTCGTTTTCTACTTTGATGACATTCTCATCTATAGTAAAACTAAGGAACACCACCGAAATCATCTCATACAGGTTTGTTCTACTCCTCGCATGACAAAACTGTATGCTAATGTCAAGAAATATTCTCTCTTCACCGATAGAGTTGTTTTCCTAGGATTCATTGTATCTTCTGCGGGGTATATACTCATCTGGCCAAAATTCAGGCAATTGTTAATAAGCCTGAACCTAAGACTATACATGATGTCAGGAGCTTTCACGACATAGCCACATTTTACCGTCGCTTTATCAAGGGGTTTAACACCATCATGACACCTCTTATGGAGCGCATCAAGAGATGGGAGTTTTATTGGACACAAGAGACGGCTAAGGCTTTTAAGCTAATCAAGAAGTGAATGACAGAAGTCCCTATCATGCGTCTTCCCGACTTTTCCAAAGTCTTTGAAGTCGAGTGTGATGCCTCTGGGGTAGAAATAGTTGGAGTCCTTAGTCGGGAACCCATCATGTTGCTTACTTCAGTGAGAAGTTAAATGATGTCAAACAACGCTACTCAACTTATGATAAGGAATTGTATGCCATTGTACAGGCTTTGTGCTAGTGGCGCCATTACTTGCTGCCCAAAGAGTTTGTTCTTTATTTGGATCATGAGACCTTCTGTCATCTCAACTCCCAGAAAAGGTCGAATTCTAGGCATGATCCCTAGATTAAATATTGGCAAGCCTATTATTTTGTTTTGAAACATAAGAAGGGTGTAGAGAACCAAGCTGCCGATGCTTTAAGTTGTCGTATTTCCCTTTTGTCGATCATGAGCGTCAAGGTCATAGGTTTTGAAAAACTAAAGGAAGATTACGAAACATGTCCTAATTTTAAGGATATCTTTTTTGATGTGCACGGTGGACGATTAGATACTGCGGTTGGTTTTTGTCTTGAGAAGGGTTACCTTCTTAGATCCAATAAATTGTGCATCCCCCGAATTTCGGTGCGGGATTTCATAGTGTGGGAAATTCATGCGGGAAGTTTAGCCAGTTGCTTTGGGCGTAATAAGACCATCAAAGAGGTTAAACGTCAATTTTATTGTCGTAGTTAAAAGAAAGATGTGGCTAAGATAGTTAGCACATGTAACTCTTGTCTGTTGGCCAAACAGAAGAGGCAAAACACTAGCCTATACACACCTCTTCTCATCCCTAATTGCTCGTGGAAAGATGTTAGAATGGATTTTATGTTAGGACTTCTACGCACCCGAAAGAAACATGATTCTATTTTTGTGGTCGCTAATCATTTTTCAAAAATATCCCATTTTATCCCTTGTAGCAAGACCTCAGATGAGTCCAAGGTTGCAACGTTGTACTTTAATGAAATTGTCAAATTGTATGGACTTCCTATGACCATTGTATCAGATGGATATGTTTGTTTCACTAGCCATTTTTGGAGAACATTGTAGCAAAATGTTGTACTAAATTGAAGCTTTTACGGCCTACCACCCTCAGACTGACGGTCAAATGAAAGTGGTTAACCGTAGTCTTAATAATTTGTTAAAATGTTTGGTCCAGGAAAATCTTAGGAATTGGGATTTGATTATTCCTACAGCTCAAATTGCATATAACAATTCTATGAATCGATCCTTAGGTATGAGTCCATTTGAAGTTGTTCGTGAGTTTAAGCCTACGAAATCTAGATCTCATTTCCATGTCCCCACATGTTAGTGTCTATATTAGCTGAGGCATTTGCACAATATCTTTATAACTTGCATATTGAGATCAATAAACAACTTGAAGCCAGTAATGCATCTTATAAACTTCGAGCTGATTTACATAAACGACATGCTGAGTTTAACATTAGGGATTACGCTATGGTATGAATTAGACCGGAGTGGCGTCTTCCTGGACCTGCCTTTAAATTTTAAGCCTATATTGCTAGTCCGTTTAAAATTTTAAGGCATGTTTGCCCAAATGCATATGTTGTTGACATCCCACCACTACTTGGATACCACTCTACTTTCAATGTTGAGGACTTAGTAGCTTATAAAGGCTATTCCAATCCCTACGATGATCCTCTTCTACCTCCATCTATGGACCTTGATCCTGATTCTCTTGCCACTTCTAACCCAATACCACCCCTTACAACACACAAAGATAAAATTGATGCTATTTTAGATGAACAGATTGCACTGACTAATGATGGAGAGGTTTAACGCTTCCTTATTTGTTGGTTGATCGACCTGATTCTGACTATACATGGATTTCCAGAGAGGCACTACAGCAACTTGACCCAAATTTATTGGAGCTCCATCGGAGTCGGCAGTATCTTCCTTGGCCTAGATAACCTCCAATTCACTCAGGGAAAGTTGGTGAGGACACCAGATTCAGACCTTCACTGAAACATTTTTACAGACGTCGAAAGAAGCTTGCTCAACCACTTAGCTTATGGTTGGGAGATTGCCTGCAGCCTCTCGTGATCTGTCCACTCGACAGGGTCGAGTTTTCTCTCACCCCGGAAGAATTGATGAGGACATTCATTTTATTAATCTTCTAGTTGGACTTCTATTTATGTTTGGACTCTTATTTATGTAATTAGGCTCGTATAAGGGGTTTGGTCCAAGCCCGTTCTCTTTAGGGTTTTGTCTCGCTATTTAAATCTAGTTTGTCGTGAAATTGAAACAGTTGATGATTGAATAAAATATTTGGTGGCTTGTGGCGAATGTTTCCTCACTTCTTCCATTATTCTTCTACTGTTTTCTTCTCCTACCATCTCTACCTTTGATTTCTTCTTCCCGCTGATTGGTTTTCTCACTCTCCATTGGATATTTCTATTGGTGCTGAATCAATTTCAGTGACCTATACTTTTCACTTTTCTGATGATGAGTCAAAGTCATGCCACTGTGGCTCCATTCATTTACGGTTAATGCAAGTTTGGTTGTATCATGGGGCTTCCATTATCTGTATATTTGATTTCAGTGACTTGTACTTTTCACTTTTCTGATGATGAGTCAAAGTCATTACATTGTGGATCCATTCATTTACATTAATGCAAGTTAGGTTGTGTCATGGGGTTTCCATCAATCTCCCTCTTCATGACTATTCTTCCATATTTCGGATATGGCGGTCATTTTCTGAGTTGGTCCTTCCCATGGCCAGACTTAGTCATCCAGTTCACCTTGTTCCTGGTTGATCTGATCCCAGGGTTGGTCATTCACCGGTCAATCAGTCATGCCATGCTTGGGATGCTTCCAGGTGGATAACTAGGACCCCACTGGACTGGTACATGTCAACTAATTTGAGACATGCTCGTACATCACATTTGACCTCCAAAATTTTTATAAGCATGCACAAACACACACATGCAAAAATATATTTTCCATACCCCAGTTGTCCACTTCAAATTGTTAGCTGTTAGGTCATTTTTTAACTTTGGGAAGGAATAAGGGAGTACCACTATGATGGTGCTCTTTTCACCTATGGGAGATGAAAGAGGCAATGATCCAATATATTATCCTAATCAAAGTGTTTCTTCTATGTTTTCCAAAATTTAACATTTAAAAATATTAGAAATTTCTATTAATAACCATATCCTAGGTTCTGGAAAATTTCCTAGGAAAAAGCCATATTGCTAGACATGGAGTTTAGTTGGGCTTTCTACTTTGAGAGACACCAAACAACAAATATAAAAGAATTTCTATGTTGTGCAATAAGGTTAACGTGATAAAAAGTTAATCCCTTGCTAAACTACAGAAACTTAGGAGGCATTTGGGTTCACTTTTCTCAGTTTTGCAAAACACTCAAAATTTAAATGGTTTGATATTTTTGAAAAAGGTAATTAGCACAAAAGGTCCATACCTTTCAATGTTACTGTGTAAAACGTCCATACCTTATTTTTTGGCATTTTCGCACTTATTTCAACGTTTCATTGTAGAAAACGTCATTTTCACCACTTTTAAATATAAAATAACCAAAATACCCTCCAATTTAAATAAAAAAAAAAAGAAAAGAAAAATAAAGAATAAATTACAATCTTACTCCTAAATGTTTTAAAAAGTGCAAGTGAGTCCAAATAATTATTAAAAGGCCTAATAATACAAAACGTCTTTACATTTGACTTATAGTGGACAAAACATCCATACGTTTCAAATTGGTGAAAATGACGTTTCCCACAATGAAACGTGAAAATAGGGATGAAAATGCAAAAAAAATTGAAGCGTAAGGACGTTTTTCGCAAGAAGTGTCAAATGTAGGGTCATTTTGTACTACTAGGCCTTATTAAAATATTAAAAATAACAAAAAAGCTCTCCTCTTTTTCTCCAAATGGGACTGCCATATTAGAGGTGAAAAACCTCTGACCAACCATCGCTCAAACTGCAGAACCTCAATATCGCTGAACCATTTGTTGATATTTCAAGACTATGAAGAGAGGCGCCCTGGTGAGTCTAGTCGATTGGTATGTTGAAAATGACATGAATCTCTATGAAACAGGTGATGTTGCCAGTATTTGCATTTGCGAATTAGGCATCTTGGCTTGCAATTCCAAACAAATTTATTAGCATGAAGTTTTCAAAGTTGGATGTTGGGTGGTAAGTGTAGAGGGAAGTGAGAGCTTTTGGGTGGTATGGTGGTCCAGCAGTTTGGGTGGTGGTTTGCTGGATTTTTTTAGGTTCTAAAGTGGTTGACCCATTAGGAGAAGAAGAAGAAGAGAGAGTTTTTTTTCATATTTTTAATATTTTAATAAGGCCAAATAGCAAAAAAATCCTTACGTTTGACGCCTTTTGCGGACAACGTCCTTACGTTTCAATTTTTTTGTATTTTCATCATTATTTTCATGTTTTATTGCGGAAAACATCATTTTCTCCAATTTGAATCATAGGGACGTTTTGCACATTATAGGCCAAGCGTAAGGACGTTTTGTGCTATTAGGCCTTTTAATAATTATTTGGATTCACTTGCACTTTTTAAAACATTTAAGAGTAAGATTGTAATTTACTCTTTATTTTCTCTTTTTTTTTGTTTTATTTAAATGGGAGAGTATTTTGGTCATTTTACATTAAAAATAGTGAAAATGACATTTTCTGTAATGAAACGTTGAAATAAGGACGACAATGCTAAAAAATGAAAGGTAAGGACGTTTTACACAATATTAAAAAGTAAGGACCTTTTGTGTTAATTATCCTTTTTGAAAAAGAATTATATATAAAATTCAAAAAATATAAAATAAAATTTTTTAGATTTAAAAAGAATAATAATATTCTTAAATTCTTAAAAAATAAAATTCTAGGAAACCAAAAATTGTAAAAAAAATAAAAAATAAAAATAGTTCAAGCTTTTCTTGGTTGGTTAAATAAAAACATTAAAAACATACATTTTACTTAACACTAAATTTCCTATGTTTTGCCAATTTAATTTATTATTTATTTTTATTTTACTGTTGTAGCAGAAAAAATCTTCTAATATTCACTAACTTTAAAATCTATATATTACCTGATTATTTATTAACATAAATTTCTTTACTTTACTGAACAATCAAATATCACAAATAAAATGTTACAAGACAATTTCTTAAAATTTCAAAATAAACATGTTTTAGTTTTCCATTTTGAGAAATAATTTTTCAAAATGACAAACAAAAAAAGTTTTCAACAATCTTAAAATGGACCCTGAAAATAGAAAATAAACTCAAAATTGAAAATTAAAACTCAAACCAAATAGACCATTAGGTCTTCACATTATGGCCCATTTGACATGACTTTTAAAAACCCAAAAAGAGCTTTTGAGACTCAAAAGTTACTTTTAAACTATTTTGGTTAATTTTATTAAAATACTTCTTCTATTTAGAAGAGTTTTTAGAAGAAACTCAACTAATATGACTTTCTCTAAAAGTTCTTTTGGAATAAGAAGTAGAGGTGGGCGTGGGTCGGTTCGATTCTCTTTTCGGGTATCTAGTAAATGAAATCGTTGGGTCCAAATATAATTATGGAATCGTTCGGATTCGATTCCGTTCGGTTCTGTTCGATTCCGTACTATAATTAAATTTTTTAACATTTATAACACCATTATATAAATACAACTAATGACACATTCAATGGTTTTGGAATGTCAGAGACTCGTAGATTACCTTGTTCAAATGATCGCTATGGTCAAAACTTCGATCGGCGGAAGTCATAGCTTTGATCGGAGGTCAGAGCGTCGACTGGCGATTGTATAGGTTTTGGAATGTCAAGGAGGCTGCGAGAGTGAGTACGAGAGTCGAGACAGCGTTATGCATTTTAGTGTAGATGTTTAAGGTTATTTAATGGGTTGGATCTTGTTGGGCTAAAAAATAAAACAATAAAATGGGTAATTGGGCAAAAAATTAGAAATGAAATAAATTATTGGGCCAAAAATTTGGATTTAGAAATTGTTAATTTGTTTAGAAAAAATTAAAATTAAAATAATTTGATTTATTCAATATAAAAAAAAAATTAGAAAGATTCGGTTCTTATTCAGTTCTTGATCTAGAACCACAAACCGAACCAAATCCGTCGGTTCTCAATTCAGATACCCGTTCGGGTATTTAATTTGACAAGAACCGTCGAATTTGGTTCGAAAGATTTGCTCAGTCCTAATAAGAAATTCTTTTAAAAGTATAGTTTCCAAACAAAAATGAAAAAAAAATCCGAAAAGCTCTTCTACATGAAATAAAAGTAAAAACAAAAGCAAAAGCCATGCCAAATGGATCCTAAGATTGTTGTCCTATATAAATGTGTGGGCACTTATTCGGTACTATATAAGAGTGATTTTGTCACCTATAGCTTCGGCACGTGATGGAAAAAATGTTTTAAAGAAAATGCCAAGAGTGTGAGATTAAGTGCTACACCGATTCAAGGTCAACTCTAAAATCCTTAGTCACTTGGTTTGGTTTTGGACATGGAGATTTGACGGAAGGATTCCGCACCTCATTCCCCTACATATGAGTTCATTTCAACAGTTAATAATGTGAGTAAGTGTGGGCATCCACAAGGCGTAGGTGAGGGTGACAGGGTTTGGTGGTGTGTGGGTAGGCTAAGATGATTGTTTTTCTGAGCTACAAAATATGCCCTTGAAAGAATGTTTCATATGCCAGACAAATGATCGACAAACAGAATTCTTGGATGAAAACCCATCAATAGGGGTCAGATGCTACAGAAGTTGAAACCCGGGAACATAAATGCCAAGAAAAATTGAATGGAGGCCCAACGCTCTTTGAACATAGAATGGTAAATGCAGGTGCAAACTTCCCCAAATATTTGTAGGCAACTGTTTATGTTATAGAACTGTTGCCTTAATTATATTGCAAAATATATTTCAAACAGAAATTCACTAAATAAATATCATAAAAGAAGTCCAGAAGGTGATTGAATTGTGGCTATCGTAATGCATGTTCAGGTAATATAATTAGCAATTTAGCAGTACAAAAAGTAGAATTCTAGAAATAAAACAGTTACCTTCCTCCTCAGGCCCTTTAATGACAATAGAGTGTAGTTTAATAACTTGAGTAAAAGGAATGTAAATCAACAGCTGCTCATCTGCATCACTCTCCAAATTTAAACCCTCGTCTTCTCTGTAATCCTGAACCAAAAACAAAAGGAATGAACTACAAGATAATAATGATGCAAGTAGATCCAAACCCCATGTACTTCCCAAAAGGAAATGGTCAATAAATGGACAATGGAAAAAAGAAACAAAGTGAGGACATAGAGTAATGCTATTTCCCAAACGTAATGATAATACGACCCAAGGAAAAAGGTAAAACCCTAATAAAAAACCAAAAAGCTCATGTTTGACTAATGAATAGGGAATAGAAATCCAATTAGGAAATCCCTCTCATGGAGGGACACGGAGCCTCTCAATTCAATACATCTATCTTGCAAGGTAACACTGATCTTGATTCTAATGTACAATGTTGAGATCTGATATGCCTCAAAAGAACTTGAATAGTTCCATTTAGTTAAAGTAGAGGAAGAGTATTATGGGAATTTAGCATAGCGAATTGTATATGCTACAAATAGGGGAGGGTATTGAGCCTCTTGAATACTCATCAACCTTGTAATTCCTTTCAAGTTTAGCTCTGTTCGTTTGTTTTTTTTCATAATCTGCGTTGGTAACTATCATGATCCTTGGATGACTAAAATCCAATCTAGTTGATAAACTCTTCCTACATATCACTTTCAAAATATAAAATTCCGACCCTTTCAGATCCCATCTTCAATTTAGATATAAAAAATACAGCAACTGTTCGGCGGATTAACAAGAGAATAATAGCAAATCAGGCATTTAAATGTGGATACCAATAGCATAAAAGAAAATGAAAATCTAAAAGCATATTTTGGAGTGGTTAATAAATGATCAAAATTATAAATAAAAATGAGTGGTCAATAAATGAGTAGTATTTGTGGGTCCCTTGAAATGTGGATAAAAATTTTGATAAACAAATAATAAACAGTAGCCAAACATGGGCTAAATATGAAACGTAATTCAGATCTCAAGATAAGATCAGGCCACACAACATGTGATGTTTATTGATGTCCTGTCTTATCCACACTACACCGTTCCGATCATTCCCCCAAAAGAGGGTGTTCAGAAAAAAGTAAAACTGATTGTGGTGTAGTATAAGCGTGACCTATTTAACCAACACCTGGTTTGGCAACAGCCGATGTCGCATTTAAAAATTTTAATTAATCTAAATTGCAGATAAATCTAGTTAGTTTTGGGCACCAATCTACATAAGGCTTTTTTCAGTCTTGCTTATCTGATGCTAAAATCAAGGATTAAAAGAATTTATAACAATCTAATGAATTAAACCAAACTCTAAACTGCCAACTGAGTCCAAATGCCAAATGATATAAATGTATAACCAGAATTTATATATGAACATTCATCAAGGGTTCCAAACCTTTATTAGTTCCAAAGGTTCATGATCTGCATTTTCAATACCTGCTTTGTTCATTGAAGATCAATTTTTTTCTTAAATTTTGTGTTTCTTATTTTGGAAGAACAAACAAGCAACTGTATCACTACTCTTCTGTTGTCCCTCCGAATCGTATCAGTTTTGAGCTTATAGTTTCCTTGGATTACTAAAGATGGATATTCTCTCCTGACTGGAATATTTATTATCAAGCCTTCCTTTCTCTTTCACGACCAACAAAGCAATGCTAACAAGACTGCTCCAAAATACTATCACAATTTCTTAGTGTAGAGACATCTAGTTAAAACACTGCAATATAGTATCTCAAACTCAATTCCCTTCAATGGTCTTACAGAAATGGTTCCATCCCTATGAAATTTGAGAAAGAAACAAATATAAGAAGAAGGACAAGCAGGAAAGTGCTTAACTGTTGGTTAAGTCAACATGAATGCACAGCATATAGTAGGCATCTTGATCAATTCTTATTTCTAACATGGCCTTCTACATTATTTTCTAAAGTGCGCAGAAACAGCTATGTTGTATATAGCAAATATGACGGATATGGACGCTAATTAGTCTAGCATTTGACCACCAAAACAAGGATGATAGTCCTATTAATGATTTAACATTAAGATTTTTCCGGATCAAGTAACGCTCACAACTTAACAAAAACTAAAAAATACTTTAACAGATCTAGAAACAGAAATATGAATCAATTAGAAGGCCTCCTTTGAGAATAGTTACAAAACATACCTTCAACTGACACCTACAAGTATCGAGAACATCCATTTTTCTAGGACATCTATTTCTTTCATTTATGTATTTTACACATCATGCTAAATGGTTCTTATGACAACGCGTTGTTAGATAGATGCTCAAATAAAAAGCAGGCGCATTCAATGTACTGCAAGAGCCCAGAAATTTGGAGTATTCTATTCTATTCTATGACCCGATTTTCGGTCAATAAGTTTCAAAACCCTTAAATACAGAAACAGTATAGAAACATAAGGTAAGCATCCTATTCTTAAATAAATTAACCAGGAAAAAAACCCTAATTTTGACAAGAATTCAAGAATTTCATCAATTATTAAAAAGTACCCGTTTGAGAGCATTCGGAAGACAGTGACTGCTGTTTTGATTTAAACATTCCACGCCCGACCAGTTCACAAAGTCCAGTAGATCAACCTACACATATATGTAGAAATGTCGTCCAATTTACGAGATAAAAGTCAAAAACTGCAAGAACTTGAAACTTATTGGAGGCAATAACGAATGAATATTTTCACCTGATTTCTTTGGATGGAAGAGGCTGATTCGGCCGACATGATTGATGACAGAGAGGAGGCAAGGGACTAGATTCAAGGGGGAATACGTTTGAGCAATACGTTAACAGAATATTGCTGGGAATCCAAGTGCGATGTATGATTCAGCTCCTTTCAAATGTTCTCGACCCTCTTTAGAGTGAAAAACAACTTTGGTCCTCTAACTCTCGGCTAATTTTCATTTTGGCCATCTAGCTTTATTTTATTCAAGATTGTATTGAAGATCTCTTTTAGGCCTCGAGCCACATTCTTTTAAAAAAACTCATTCTTAAACAGCAATTTGATTTTATTTCAACCACATATTTTTCAATACAATAATATTACAAGAAAATTTATAATTTTTTTTTAATTTTTATCTACACATTTCCTATTAATACACTATTCAAAAATGCATTTTTATGAAAATAAATGTGACTCAGACGGCTTAATTGTCATTTTGATACACAAAAGTGTAATTGATACAAAAAGTCTATTATTTACTTTCATTGAGCAAATATTCCCTATCATTTCACTTTTAACATTTGAACCCCCAAATGGACCATTCTTTGTGCGAATCACCCATAACATCTCATTCCGTGTATTTGCTTCGTCAGATGATTGATTGCAGTTTAGCCATGTGATTTGGCAAGGACATTTTGATCAAGACACTAAATTAAATTGTAGAGAAAGCGTTTGTTTTGAATAAAGTTTGTAGAAGGGTCTTATCATCAAGAACCCAAAAAAATGAACAAAAAATCTCAATTGCCCCTTCTCCTTCTCGATGAAAAATCAAAGATAAGGCATTATATGGTGCAATGCTTCGGATTATGCCTCTAGGCAAGTTCCAAGTCTCCAATGTTTTTAATTCTTCATCAAATTTTTTGGCTTCTTGCTGTAGGTTTGTTGCTAGGAAATGAAGATTTTTGTATCCAATTTTACTTGCTTTTCGAGAATCTCGATGGTTTTCTATGGTACGGCTACTACATAATCATTAAAATGAAACCTTTGCTCATTGTATGGCATGTATGCTGCTGTATATGGTAAGTTTCATACTTTGCCTACCTAGTACACAATGCTCATGTGGCAATAGAAGTGCGTTGGCTAGAAATTACTTATATTCCCTTTGTTTCATTTATATAGGTTAATTTTGTTTTTCATACGAATTAAGAAATTTTATTTAATGTTATTGAAAAAATAATTTTTTTTAAAAGCTTTGCTAATTTACCCTTATTTATATGTGCACAATTTCAAGATTACCTGAAGAAAATTAATTATAACTAGACAAATTAAATAAGGGCATATTAGTAATCAAACAAAACAAAATACTCTTAATAAAGAAATAAAATTATATAATAAAATTATATAATTGGAATAAGAAAATAAATAAAGTCAGCTTATATAAATAGGATGGAGAATACGGTACATTTGTTTTCAACATTGATTTCAAGGATGGGACATTTTGCTCATTGAAGAATTAGAATTTTTGTTGACTGCATTTGTGTAGGAATTGTGCGATTGTGATTATATTTTCCATTTTTTGTTTAAATTTTTTTATTTAAAATTGAGGCCATGTTTGATCCGCATTATTTAAAAAAACATACATTCTTAAACGATAATTTGACATCATTTCAATCACATATTTTTAATAAAATAATATTACACTTAAATCCAATTTTTATTTTTTTATTTTTTTAATCACACATTTTTTATTTGTTGACATACAAAAAATTCAGCCCAAATCGAATAGTCCAAAGAATGAAGTCCAATTGGAGGATCCCCAAATCAGATAGCTCAAAGAACGGCCCAATTAGGCAATTCAGGATAAAGGCCCAAATAGGGAAGCCCATGAACGCGGTAATACCTTCGTTCAAACTTGCAAGTCGCCCAAGATTTGAGCGAATGGATTGTCATGCAGTCGCCCAGAGCTGTGACCCTGTTCTCGTCCAAACCTTCGAGTCGCCCAGGATCTTAGTAAACATAAGATGTCATGATTACCCAAAGGTGCGGTTAATGAAGCAATTATTGAGTAGCCCTATCACGTTACACGATTCAAGGAATTCAATTGAAAATGGTTGAACGACAAAAAATAATGGCAGTAGTTAGAAAAGGCAGTTGCATGACAAGTTGGTCACTATGAAGAAAGTGAGCAGTTATAGAGCGATCAAGTAGTTTTTAAACGATTGATCACGAAGAGATCATTCAGAGAGTATAAAAAGAAGAAAAAACATAGAGCAAAGGACCCCGAATCAAACACTCTCAAACAGAGAATATGTAACTTTCAATTTCTTAGTTTAGATTTAAACACTTCTTTTCAGTAACTCGTGTGCTTGTGCCCCTTGGAGGCATTCTGTTTTATTTTCCAATTGTAAAGTCATCGCCAATAAAAATACCCCTTTTTGGGACTTTGTCTCAAGAGGTTTGTCTTTTACACAATCGTCTGATCCCTTTTTAATTGTTAGCGACTAACTCGCACAAAACAATTTGGCACGCCTAGTGGGACATCGGTGTTTGGTATTAAAGATACAAAAGGTGAAACAATATGCTTTAGAGATCCGATAAGGAAGCAGCAAGTCAGGAAGGAGTCCAGTCTGTGATCGAGCGATATGAGGAGCAGCATAGCTTTTCACGAACAGATGGACAGAATCAGAGCAGTAACAGTCGTTACGAATCAATGACAGAGTTGAGTCCTCGAACTATGCGTGCACTACTTGGAGAACTCACACAAGATGTCGTTGAACAGGTAAATCTTCGAAATATTCATAATATGGAAAGATTTACCCAGAATGGGAATGCACATTATGACAACATGGCCAAACAATTGAATACTTTGAACGAAATAATGAATAAATTAGTAAGCCAAATTTGTCAATCAGTTATGCCTCTTACAAACCACTTTCAAACTAGGACAATTGTGGGATATAACCCCCCAGTCCTAAGTTTCAATCAAGGGGTAGACCACCTTTTGATCCCTCTACTTCAAACCAGGGGGGTGGTGCAATACCAAATCAGAATAGTGGCATTGGTACGTCTAACTTGGGAGATAATCCAAATGTAAGAGATAATATCCTAAATAATGGGTAGAATACCCCACGTGTTAATGAGGGAATAAATGTTCAGGCTAATGGTAACAATGGCCCAAATTATGGTAACTTTGTTCCCAATCAAGGACCAAACATCAGGCCTCAAGCAAATCAACCGGTCAACCAACCTGTAGGGATTCCATATGACCCCAACGTCATGTTGAGGAATCAGATTATGGAAATCGTACAGGATCAGATGGCTTTTGGGGTACGACCTGACATTAGGCCAACTTACACAAAGCCATATCCTGATTTGGTAGACCAAGCATATCCATGGCCTAGAGAGTATAAAGTGCCAGAATTCTCACTGTTTACCGGTTTAAGGGAGGTGTCTACTCTATAACATATAGGGCGATTCACACTGCAAAGTGGTGACGTAACTGATTATCATAAAATGAGGCTTTTCCCTAGTTCATTAACAGAAGTAGCTTTCTCCTGGTTCATTAATTTGCCAGCAAACCCTGTTCAAACATGGCAATAATTGGAATAATTATTCCACGCTCAATTTCATAAGACTGAGTCTGAAATTACTTTGACCGATTTGACGAATCTACGTCAAATGCCAAACGAATGGGCAGAAGGTTTCATCCAAACGTTCAAGACAGCAAGAAGTAAATATTTTGTAACTTTACCCGAAAAAGAGTTTGTCAAAATTGCTCAAGGTTGTTTGAGCTTTGATTTGAAAAAGAAATTTCAAGACAAGGAATTTCCTGACCTTTTTCAATTGAGCGCGAACGTGATTAGGTATGAACGATTGATAAGAGAAGAAGAGCAGATAAAAAATTCTAGCAAGGGGAATTATTATAAAGACCCAAATTTTGATGTTCATACCATCAATAACGAGTCATACGATCAGACCGAAATATGTTTGGCCGAATTAGTCAAAGGAGACACGTATACTTGTCCTATAATGGCTAAGCTTAGACCATCGGATAAGGATGAGCCTACGAAAGATGAAAACATAAAAGCTAGAACGTTCTTATTCGATATAACCAAAGCTGACCTTATATTTGATAAATTATATAAAGATAAGCAGATAAAGTTGAGCGATAAGCATAAATTGCCAAGCCCTGAACAAATTAAGGGTAAAAAATATTGTAAGTGGCATAATGCATTGTCACATTTAACTAACAATTGCTTGATTTTTCGCCATGTGTTATAGGATGCCATTGAATCATGATGAATTACGTTCGATGATAAGAAGAAGATGACAGTGGATGGAAATCCTTTTCCACGGCCACTTGGAGTGAATATGGTGACGTTTGGTTTCAAAAACAAGTTGCCAAAATTCAAGTTGGTTATAGATGATGGAGAAGAAGACCCTGGACCACATCCCAATGTCTTTGAGCGTATTAAA